ATGACTTGCTGTGTGCCAGGTCACTTTTGCCCTCTGTACAAAGACTAATGCACCTGGCCCTCACTGTTGTGAGACCTCTTTGTGGGCTTTCAGTGAAGTAGTTCTGTACCATGGTAGAATGCAGCTCAGCCTCTTTCTTTCCTTTATCTCCCCCACTCCTTTTTTGGTGGTTGTTTCCAAAGAGTCTTTACATTAAAGTCTTTATTTTTCAGTTGTGTGTCCATTTCTGCCAGACACAGAGGCAGTGATTCATCAGGAATTTGCTCAAAACTGCCAGGTTTGGGATTTTCTTTTCTGGTGGGCAAGGCAAAGTTCACACTAGCTGGAAGATGTCCTTCCCCTCTTCTCTCAGCAGGGCTGCAGAGCATGATTAGGAGTGTGGGGGGTGTCTAATTGCATAAAGGGGTGCCTGGGAAAGGACAAAGGGACTGAGCTGGACACTTGATCTGGGCAGTGACTGGAAGCAGCACTTACCWCTGGTAATAAAGACTATCTGCACCTGCAGTGTAATTCCACTCTTGTTGAATTTTTTAGTTCTGAAACTTAAACATCTGAGTTTCAGGGGAAAACCAAACAAGCTTGCCCCTACCCTGACACTTGCGTGCAATGATCTGATCATTCCTGCTAATGCAGTACAGGCTATGCTTGTACCTGACCTCAAAGCCTTCAGAGTAAATCTGCACACGTTGTATCTTAGGACATCTCACTTAGTAACAGTGCTGTCTGCTCCAACTTGCAAACCACCACCAACCTATGAAGAGTATGTGATGAGTARCCAGTGTCTGATTAAGTGCATGCACACCCCAACTCCCCCTTCCCTGTGGTCGTCCCATGAAAACACTTCATCAAAAAACAGCTGTCATTTGAACAAGCCCTTTTGCTCCACTTCTGCTTCCCTCCAGGAAGAGGATCAGAGACCTATACAGGTGATAATTTTTTCTAAAAGAGACAGTGCTACTAAAGGCTAAGCAGTGTCAGATTCAACAAGTGCTTGCTGAGTAGTGCTTTGCTCGCAACCTAATGATACAGAGCTGGTGTTTCAGTCCCTGGAAAGGGTGTGTCTTTGAAATCTGCAGATGGTCTTTTAAATTGCTTGAGACAGTGCTTTGAAATGTGAAAGTTGGGTTATGCTTTTAGCTAGGGTACCTGATTAACCCAAGGAGTTGATGGCAGAGCAAGAAAGCTGCTCCTGGCTGTTCCCCAGTAGTCCCAATGCTACACTGAAAAAGCTGGCCGAAGTTCTCATCTTTCTGGACTTGGACCCTGGCTGTCCTGCCTTGCCCCTGGTTGCTTTGAGGGACAATTCCTACAGCCTCTCTGAGCTTGAGAAGCAGAGGTGCTGCAGTCCTTGTGTGCCTGTATCTTGTTGTGAACGTGAGGATTAGTAATCACAAACTTCACAGCAATTAAAAAAACTGCACCACAGATGCCAGTTTAAGGCTACAGCAGTTTCACACTTATTTTAGTCAAATTCCCTGGAGAGGCTGCTGGCAGAAGTCCCTGGTCATATAACAAAGGGAGGCTGAAGTGTTCTCARGAAGACTTGGAGTTTTTATGTCCATGAGCTGAAGTGTGTCCTACATGGGCTAAGATGCAGCAGCAAGCCCAGGTTTTGTCTCACTTGCTCAAATAACCTTTCAACCTCTCTAATAAGAAGTAATGGATAGAATACCACTCTGGCACAGGAACCTAGGATAAGACTGAATAATATTAAACTAAATTGCAAGTTCTCAGTTTCTGCGGACTAACATCTGGAAAAAGTTCCCTCCCACCCAGGAATCAGAACTGGCTGTGTTATTACTCAAGTATAAACATGATAAATTAAGGCCAGAAAGTGTTTTTTGACTGTGCTAGCAGGGTGGGTGGATCAGCAAGGATCATAAAACCTATGGCTTTATCACAAAGGCCTGAACATAACTGTCAGGCTGCCAGCAAAATCTGCCTTGCTTGCAACACTCATCAGTTCTGGCAGTGAATGGTAGGAACTCCATCAAAGAGATGGGGTGCCTCAACAGCAAGATAGATTCTAATTAGTTCTTAAGCAAGCTTGGATTTTTCTTTAAAATCTCACTTCAATGGATTTTGGTTTTAAACTTCCTAGAGAAAGACAGGTTGTTTCTAGGGTTGCAAAATCCTGAGACCGCAGTGGTAAGGGTATTCARGACACCACTTTGCTTTGAGTGCTCTGTGCACTGCAACTGGCAGTGTTGTGTGGTGGCCAGAGTGACCACAGCAAAGGCACTGGCTGTGGAGAAGCTGCAGAGAAGTGACTGGAGCCTTTACCTGCTGTACCAGTTCAGAGACTCTGCTGTTTCCCAGATGCAGTCTTCACAGAAAATGGGGTTCACCACACACCAGCCTGCCATCTGACAGAAATGACTGTTAAGTCTCTGATTTCAGTTCAGCTATTCTCCCTTGTTAAGTAAATCAGCTGAATACCTCCACAACTTCATTACAGACTGCCAAGTGTGGTAACAGACCAATCCTTTAGAGAATTGTTTGCTGCTTCAAGTCTCTTTCTCACTTTCCTCTGCAGCAAAAGGTTTTGGCTGTTTTACCTGTTGAAGCACCCATGAACACAGACTGCGCATGAGTGTTCAGCACTATACCCAAAAGCATTAATATTAAGCCCTGGGACTGCTCAGTTACCAGAATAGGACAAAACATGGTGAGACTCACTGTTCATTCAAACTTACTGAACTCAACCTAAGTTGTATGCATTCCTTTTATTTAAAAAGTTGTCCTAATAGTGCACATTGCACCTATACAAAAGAATCTTTACACTGTCCACACACAGGTATATAAGGACACCTGCCACCTCTAGGTCTCAGCTAGATCACACTGCTCACACAGCGTTCTTAGTACGTGGCATTTGGGTGGAGGGGGTGGGGGCAGAAGTCAGCAGTACTGGGAACTCTTGGCAAGTGGAATGTGTGTCCCCTTCAGAGACAGAAAGACCCCTGCCAATCCTAGATCCACGTGGGGAGAGGAATAGGGATAAAGTCTGTAGGAAGAGCACCAGTGTCACAACAGGAAGGTTACCAGGCTGGAGCAGTATTGGCCAAACGTCTCATGCGCCTGAGGGAGAGAGAGAGAGGTATGGTAAGTGCATGTTACAGTCATGTGAGGTCTTACCAAAACCAGTGCTTTTGGGGAGACTGCCACAGCTTGGTGAGCTTTGTAGACAGGTTTATTCCCACACAGAACTCCACAGAACCCTGTTGATAAGGCTAAGACACTTGTCACTAACAGTTTTTAGGGTACTTTTGCTCATTAACCTGGTTTGAACCAATTGCTACTGTAAACTCTTCAGTYAGCCATAGCTGATATACAAAATGACTGTGCTACTGTTAATCAGCAGTAAAAAAAAATAATCCTGGGAAAGAGCTGAGCCAGTATATTTACTGTTTCCATAAAGTATCTTTTGGAGACATGCTAGCCATTCATTTATATCTGCCAGGAAGAATTTCATCAAGTAGGTGGCAAGCTCTCAACTGCTTGTCAAACATCACTTAGCAGGTCTCTGTGGGCAGAGCTTCCCCTGGAACCACACTGTGGTCCCATRCTGGCAAACAGGTTGGCATCAATCAGGCTAGAGTTGGGAGCTTGCCCATTGCTACACAAAATTGAACTTTACCCTACATAAAAGGAAGCCTTGTGGCAGGATTCTAGACAGCATGACAGTGCACAAAATTCCAATATGATTCATGCCTTCCTATACAAACAAYCCCCCTGGACAAGCAGAGAGCCCAGGGAAAAGAAAAAAAAAGGTTAAAAAAAAAAAGGAAACTTTGCTTCAGGCAGGAGATGGTTAAAGTAGAGATTTCAGTGTTCGTGGAGGGAAGTGATAACAGTTTAATATCCTGAAGCTAAAGTTTCTGTTATGGTGTGCAAGTCTGACATCCTGCCARTTGGCTCTCAGTAGGGAAAGACAAACATCAAAGCTTGTAATTTCTGTCAAGGGACAGGCCAARAGAACTGTCTAAAGTAGTGGCAGTACCTTGTGTTTCTGTCCTGGTCTCTGATCTTCTTCTCCATCTCGGCGTCTGTGAGGGTTTCCAGGAGAGGGCACCACTGGTCAGCGTCCCCCGTGTTGCGAATTGCAATCTCCACAGTCGGCAAGGGGTTTTCACTGCAGGGCAGAAAAAGGCAWCAATCCCAGTTCATCGGAGCTGTGGGGCTGGGATTGTTCACGGGGCTCTTGTCTAGCTTTGCTGTTCTGCAGCTCTGACTTACTAGCTGGTTTGCCTAGCACAGCCCTGACAGCCCTTCCCTGGCAACAGTCTGGGAGCCTGATACWGGAAAGAGGACCTGGTGTTGCAACCAGAGGCTGTGGCTAACAAGCAACCAAACACCAGGCTATGTCCCAGATCACAAGATCAGCTCCTCAGAGATTTCTCTGCCCTGACCAGCTGTATTRTCACATGCACAAAAATATTTACTGCTTCACTAGCTGCTTTTCAGTAAAAGTCAACAGGAATTGACCAAGAGTAGCTTCCCAAATATTGACAGTGGAGCCGGAAGCCCAGCATAAATATAGAGGAGCCTCGGAATGTAAATGTTTGCTTTGAATTCTCAGAAGTGGCTCAGCCTGAGCTGCAGAAGTGTGTGTGTGAGAGGAGCCCTGGGACAGGTGTGCACACACATCTGGCCCCCTCCCCAGGGACATGCACCCCTACACAGGATTTCAACACTCACAGGCAGCCCTCTCATTCCCCCAGGAAGGAACTCAAATGCTAATGATCATGGGAACACACAACATCTGCATCAAAGCTAATAATCTAAAATAACAAATCTTCAATGTAATGCTACCATGAAAAATTAATCCAGACCCTTTGGTATTTGATCCAGGGAGGAAGCTTTAATCAAATCTA